TACCCTGGTGGCACAGCGATAAGTCTGAAGGCTTATAACGCTAAAAACCGGGTTTCGATATCCGTGGTGAGTACAGCACAGGTAATCCGTTGTTTGACTTGCCCCTACCCTGGTGGCACAGCGATAAGTCTGAAGGCTTATAACGCTAAAAACCGGGTTTCGATATCCGTGGTGAGTACAGCACAGGTAATCCGTTGCATAACTTTGTGTTTAACAACAAATAATCTCTTTCATAATTATATCAAACAATCTTTAAAATTGTAGACTATTTTTAGCTGTTTTTTGTTTGCATTTTAACAATATTTTACGTATCAACTATTACTGTAGAGATCACTGGGGCACTAGAAAATTCCTGGTGGACCGGCAGTCCACCGAATATATATTTTTTAATTTTTCTAACACTATTAAGACTGGTTATTCAATTTCCCTTCAGTGAGTGTTTAGCGATAGACGTGTAATTACATTATCATTTTAAAATTGTTTTTGTGTGACTTAGTTTCAGGTTATGTTATTATGTAGTTACCCCCCCCCCCCCCACTGGCACAGCGATATGTCTGCGGACTTACAACGCTAGAATCCGGGTTTCGATACCCGTGGTGGGCAGAGCACAGATAGTCCATTGTATAGCTTTGTGCTTAATTAAAAACAAACAAACAATTTTTTTTAATAAAACGGGTTATAAATGCAATAAACGTTAGATTGTAAATGAAACATTTTGCACACGATATTCTTGTTTCATTTGCGATTAGTACTAATACATATTATAGGCTATGTAGTATGTAGTATAGGCTATGTAGCACCCCACTAATGTTTTGGGGAATCCTTCTTCCCTGACCAATTTTTAACTCCCTGATATACACGAATTTTTCCTTTATGAATGTGAGAATGATAGTGCCTGTAGTCAGAGATAAACCATAATTGACCATAATACATTACCTCATTAAAAAAAAAACACATTTTTTAAACAACTTATGTTATAAATATTATCTTTCTACACGATTACTGACGTGAAGTGTTCCGGTTCTGGCACCCCGTCGGCTCAATATTGTGTTTCAAATTACCGAATCATTTAGCGTAATATGTAATAAATGAGTTTAGAAGCAAGCTCTTAACGACAACTTGTTGTTGCCTAGGGTGAAAGTAAATTTCCCTACCAGTCTTAGTGAACTAGGCTAAAGATAAATAGATTCCAGCTTTGTTCGTTGCTACGATAAAGGTCTTACGTCTTTATTTTCTCTAATCAGTTTAGTTGCGAACAACTGGAGGTTACTTAACGCTAAAATTATATACGAACAATCGAATGTGCCTTTTTTAAGAATTCGTGAAATTGTGCTATGCGACGTCGAGTATAGTTTTCATACCTATACATCACGAATCTTTCCGAACCCTAACATATAAATTCTGATCAAAATCCAAATTAACTCAAGGAAATATTTTATCACAAACTGGGGTACCCGTCTTTTGTCCGGGTTATGAACTTAAACAAATGTGGGTGTGGATGCTACGATAAAAACACAAAAATCCTACCTTTCACACAATCTTTTTATAACACATCATATTATTACAGTATCCATTATTATGGTATACACTATATGATGGTCAGGGTGATTTTGTAGGAAGAAGTAATGGTCAAAGTCGAGTTGCTTTCTGTTACCCGCTCTCAGCACCCAGCTCTTAATGTCCTTCTACAGTGTTTCACGTGATTAATTAATTGACAGTCATTGGTCGGAGAAGTGTCTTAGGCTGAAGGTGAAAGGACACGAGTCAAAGTAGGAAGTGAGTATAACTCAAGAAACGGCTCTTCGTATCAGCCCTGTTGGAGTGGCTGTTGGAGTTAAATCTTCAGCTGAGTTTATGTATTATTGGCGGCCATTTTTTCATTGCATTCCTCCATAGAGAGTGCTAGTGCACCCTCTGAGATGTATGTTGTGTTATATATATATATATTGGTGTAAGGTAAGGACGTGGTGCCATCTATGAATGTAGTTAACGTTAAGTAAAGTTAATAAATGCTCAATAACAGCAATAATGAAGGGAGGGTATTGTGAGCCCCATTAACATGCCCCATGTTTCAGGCTATCAGCATACAAAGTTTGGTTGAGATTGACCCAGCGACTTAAAAGTAGTTAGATAACGGACAGATGTTTGTGTTATATGTATGTATATATATATATATAGATATAGATATAGATGCTCGATATATGTTTAATACTCACAAAAATTATCTCAGCATTATAAACCTTGCTGGTGCTGAGCGCTATTTAGTAGATCTAAAATATGTCTTAAAGTAGAGTTGGAAAATATTATTATTATTATTATTCTTATTCTTATGCAAATATAATTTTATGAAAAAACTCTTTATGCTGGTAACAAACTCATTTTTTATTTTTTCAATACAAAAATTGATCGGTTTTACTATTATGAGGCTGGTATTATTTAAGTAATTAAAAAGTTTGTTTGATTCATAATTCCGCGAATATCTGTCCCTAATATTGAATCGATGGGCTAAATACAAGATACCTAGTCAACAGTACAACTCTTGGGCAACTCTTTTCTGATATTATAGTTGAATTTGACTGTCACTGTTATATTATACCAGCAGATCCATGTCTGAACCGCGATACTGCGACAAAGGATCGCGAACCATGAATCCTCGGATTCACAATCAGGCAACAGTAGGCAACGCCCAACACATACTTAAAAAACTGTTGAACGTTCTGAAAGCATTCTTTCGATATATATATATATATTTCATGATTAACATAAGACCGCAGTGTATATCAGATAGCAGAATTGATATATTATGTTTGAAGTGCATGTATCTTATATTTGCCCCCTAGTGGCACAGTGGTAAGTATACGGATTTATAATGCTAGAAACCAGGTTTCAACACAGTGGTGGTCAGAAAAAAAAAGTCCCCCGCTGGGAAAGCGGTAAGTCTACGGATTTACAACGCTAAAATTAGGGGTTCGATTCCCTTCGGTGGACACGGCAGATAGCCCGATGTGGCTTTGCTATAAGAAAAACACACACACTTATGCTTAGTCTATTTTGTAATTCATCGAGTAAACAAGAACCCAGAGCTATAGTCACTTGTACTTTGTCATTAGGTCACCATGTTTACGAACAGACGAGCGTCATTTATAAATGACATTAGGGATGATTAAATATGTGATATCAAGCAAAACAGGGCATAAATATTATGGTTTGGTTTATTTTGAATTTCGCGCAAAGATACACGAGGGCTATCTGCGCTGGCCGTCCCTAATTTAGCAGTAAAAGACTATAGGGAAGGCAGCCAGTCATTGCCACCCACCGCTAACTCTTGGACTACTCTTTTACCAACGAATAGTGGGATTGATCGTCACATAGTAACGCCCCCACAGCTTAAAGGACGAGCTCGTTTGGTGGGACGAGGATTCGAAACCTAATCACTTGGCTACGACAGGCCAAATATTATGGGGGAAAAAACGTCTAGCATCTTTGTGACAAGATTAAACTTATTCTTGACTGGCGTCCTTTCAAACGACTTTGTTTAAATACTGTCATCTACGTTTTATTTTTATTTTCTGGCCAAATACGTTGTAAAATTGTAAAAAAAAATAATAATTAACAATTAATTGTATCTATATTCACAAGGTTGGAGGTTGAAAGTTTGTAGTACAAATACAAAAGGATCTTAATAGGCACACAACTAAAGATACCAATATACAAACATTGAGCAAACAAATATATAAAATTCATTATGGTAACTGACGTTAATGATTCACTTTACAAACAAATAAAAGATACAAGACGAGACAGTCATTCATCAACCTGTTTGTAGGCTACATAGAACACAAAATGTTTCACACTGACGATATATTGATGATATAATTGGTATTTCAATTTCAAACAAAGAAGAAGTCCACAATTTTGCTAATTTCATCAAGAACTATCGTCCAGCCCTTCGGTAAACAAACAACGTTTCAAACAATTCAATGAATTTTCTCCACATCACTCTAATCTTAATTACGAAGAATACCATTTTAACTTCAATATATTATAAAACTACCGACTCCCATTCTTTCCTGGATTACAACTCCAACCACTTTAAGTCCATTAAATATGACATTCCTAAGTCACAGTTCCTCCGGCTCCTTCTTTTATGCAATACTGAGTCCTATTTTAACCATATATTTGATGACTTGTCAGTTTTTTCTATTTTTAGAGTTATTCTCTAGATATAATCGACTCAACTTCCAAAGATCAGCCATACTACTGCACTATAACTGAAGACAAAAGCGAATAATCGAAAAAATCAAGTCCTTCTGATATTGATATATCTTCCGGTTTCAATTATAAATAAAGATCACTTGGGATATTTTAAACTACAAAACGTTTGGGGCATAAACTGAAAGATAAAACTATCATATCGTATCGACACAGTAAAGCCTAAAATATATACTGGTACACCAGAAAAATTACCCCTCTTCAATGTGGTACGCGTTGCTGTGCCCGTTCACGATGCGATACTTGTCATTACATGAACACCAGTACTGCGATACCTAGATCCAACTCCACGTACACGGTCAAACAGTTGTTGATTTGTACATCCAAGCGCTTAATTTATACGTAGGAGAACTGATCAAATGTTGTGTGAACACATCTGTAACATCCAGAATTGTGACCCAGACAAACCTGTGGCTATACATTACAGTAATGATGACCACAACATCGGCCATTTCAGAATACTGGCCCTTCGTCACTTATCGACAGCCAAAAGAAGATACTACAAGACGAAAATGGACCCATCTATCGGATTGAGACCATTCATTCGAAAATTATAAACAAAATATTTTCTTTCTGATAACTCTTTTGTGTGCATGTATGTGAGGGCATATATACATACCTACCAAAATGCTATTTTTCGATCTTTGAGAACGTGATATTGTTTGCCTCGCAACAATGCACAGCACCCTACTTACTTGTTATTATTATTAACATTGTTTTGAAAAGTTTTAAATTTAATTGAAGATTCAGTTTTTAATTATTATTTCTATTGATAATTTGCCAGTTATTAACCTGCTTGTTTTTTTTTTTTTAGATCTGTTGTTTGATGCTCAATTGAAACGTTTGCAACGTAACCCAAACATACTAATGCACCAAAGGAAAACTTTATGAACATTAACACGTCTATTTATCATTAATCTTTTTTGTGGTATAATTTTTCCGTTTTTTTGCTTTTATGAACGTTTTGTTTCTTTGTTGTTAATTCCACAGCTATACAATGAACTTATTTTCGCGTTATAAGCCTTCAGACTTACCACTGAATCATTAGGGACGGGGGGTATGGCTATAATGAACGGAGTTATTGAACAAAACAAAAGTGGGGGCTAGATTAACTGTGATTTATTAATTAAATTAAGAGTGTTTGTGTGTTTGAAGTTAAGCACAAAGCTACACAATGGGCTATCTGTGCTCTGCCCACTACAAGTATCGAAACCCGGTTTCAAGCGTTGTATATCCGCAGACATACCGCTGTGCCACTGGTGGGGGGAGCGAAATTAAGAGTGAAGTTTGAACAAAAATATTTTTAAAGATTTAGGGATTTTTTTTATTCCTTTTCAATTTTCTATACACATCACAGGTGACCATATACGTTACATGTGATATTTTAAATTTTACATTTGTTGAAATGCAAAAGCAATCTATAACATATATACATAGAATAGTTTTATAGTGTTATGTGTTAAACTTAAATCGAATATGTTAAATAGAGCTATAAAATAATATTTTGTCTGAAACAAATAAGGTCGGGAGTGGCCCATAGGTTAATATGCAGGACTATGGATTAGAGAGCCCATAGCGAACTTTCAGAAGAGAAAACTTTATAATTGCGATAGTCAATCCTGCTATTTGATTAAGAGTAGGCGAGTAAGCGGCGGATGGTGCTACTTGTTACCATCCCTCTATCAGCAGCTCTAAAATTTGGAATAGCTGTGTTTGAACGTTGGTGTCTCTGGCTTGGCTGTTTAATTAATATGTCACATAAGATGCCGTTCAGATTGAAAAATGTCAATACCTGAAACAAATTATTGTTTACATGAACTAGCTTCTTTTTCGGATAATACATTAGAGCAAAAAAGTTAGAGTTGGTTTGAATGAGTTCAAACTAATTTGAATAATACAATCGATTTTGTGCCCAGTTGTTTGACTTTTAATTAGCTTAGTTTGTCATAGACGCCAAAACAAAAATTCCATATTTCTCTCATGATGGTTATCAGGTGTAATAATTTCGTTATGGTATATACATGGTTATACTGGTTACATACTCTCACCTTCATTTCTAGGAAACTCAGTGTTGACAGAAGAACCATGTGATAATAGTCAATAGAATAGTCAAAGCAAAATTCTAAATGAATAGAAGTAAGACGTTTTTTGTGGATAGCAAATGCATTACAGCTTAAGTAAATATCACTCATTTCTGGGCATGTCTCCGGGGTGTTCCTCATTGATAAAGATTTAGGAAGCCACATAAGCACGAACTTTAGAGCTCCCTATTTATCCCCAACACCCACTCTGTCCATGTTAGTGTGTGTGTGAAGGGACTCCCACCGGGGATGTTTGCTGACATTAATAACACATTCAACAAATATGAAATGTGTTAATATATCATTTTCATAAAGAGAATATGGAATATTCAGCCAATCAATCTAGTTACTGCTTCTTCAAACATAGAAAGAAGTTGAGTTGACATTTAAACTAACATGCTTACAACAATGCATAATATTAAGCCTTGAGCAACACTTAAGTATGTACTACAAAAAAAAAAACATCGGTGATTTACTTGAAATATTATACAAATA